GTGGACCAGTCGTGGATCCAGGACTAGCACGTGAGGGAACGCGTGGCGGCTGGACAGCGTGGTCAGCAAAGCTTTGCCGCTCGTCCTCAGCACGGGCGCCCTCGCCGAGGGCAGCTCGGCTTACGCGTCATGCGATTGTTCCCAGCGGGCACGTTGCCGGCGAGACCGCCCCAACTTGCGGCGTTGGTGACGCCCGACGCGCGGGCTGACCTGATGGCTGCGGCGCGCTGCGCGGTCAGGGCCTGGCCCCAAAAGCAGTCGCTTCGAACGCTGGGCAACGACCATGGCGGACTGCGAGGCGGCCGACTACGCAGCGGAGCTGGCAGTCTGGTTACCCCTGGGGGAGTGCCTTGAGAATGTCTTGCGGGCGAATCTGGGGGCGCGCTGGGCTCTGCGGAAGCCCAACCCCCGTGTCCGCCCGGTCGCCTGCGGCTCTGTCGTACGATTGCAGCTAGGTCCGCTGGCTACGTGTACCGAGACGAGATGCGAGACGGCTGCGGGCTTTGCCAGTTCGCGGCGGGGCGCAACTGTGGCTGCAAGAAGGTTCGCGCGGCGAGTGCGGCTCTCGCGGCGGCGGCGCCGACTAACGTAGTTTTGGCTTTGGACGCCGCCGACGCCCACGACAGCCGAGCAGCGAGCTGGAAAGGCCTGGCTCCGCGAGACCCGCGAGGCAAGGCTCGCCGACGCCTGTGGGCCCCGCACTTTCGCGGTGCTCAGGAACCAAAGGCGAGCCTCAATATGCATCGCTTTCGGAGGTGATGACAGTCATTACCTTGCGATGTAAGGTGTAAGCGTAGCGGAGGGGAGGACCTCCCCGTGCCGAGGTTAACCAAACACGGAACCTATTGGTAATGATGTGTACCGAGGGCGACTGCGATGAGCTTTGTCTTCGTACATGTGTCTCTCAGGCATTTCTGGAGCATTGTTTGTTGCCCATATGTCTCTGAGCCATCCGTGGCTGCTGAAAACCGAACCATTCGTGGCTGCTGATATCAGTGCTTGTGCAGGATGTCTCCTGGTGGGGCTTGCGCGCGCCCGGTTCGCCCTCGGCGCCCGGTGGGGGATCGAACGTTGGAGCCTTCCTGGCGGAGTTGGCCGCAGGCACGGGCTGCTCCCATCGGGGGTAACTGATGACAAAGCTGTGGGTATTTCTGAGCGTGACAAGTGTTGTGGAAATCGATTAATGGAGAGGAAGCGTGCTGCCAAATAATTTCCAGATGCCTAACACATGTTTCCAGGAAGCGTGCTGCGAACAACATTTCAGAACATGTTCTACACATTTTAAGCACATCTCTAATTCAATGATCGGATTATTAGAGTGTCCATTGTCATGGCATCCACAAGACAAGTATTGGGCGACTGTCGGGGCACCATTCGAAGAGCCACAGGAAGCCATTGCAATAGCAGGGGGAACCAATGCGATAGCAGAGGAATCCATTACAGCCGTTCGGGGCAACGTAGGGGGCAAGACATTGCAATCGTTTGGGGCAGAATTCGGGGGAGTAGCAGTGGGTGAGTTCTCCAGGAGTTGAGCTATGATTCTTATATGCATGCCTGTTCTGATAGAATTTTGCCGTCGGAGGTTTGGGCCCAAGTGCCTCCACGCATAGTCCCGAGGCCCCCCGCTGGCCCCGTTCCGTACCGTGAAGGGAGAAATAATCCAGAAGGAAATGGGCTCCTAGAGTTTTTGTTGTTGCTCTCGGCTCCCACAGGCCCTTCCAGTGCCCCAGGACTGTCTAGAACTAGCCCGCGGACGCGCTGGTCCCAGGGAACAGCCCTCGGGCCCAGGGCCCGTTTCTACGAGGGCCCATTTCATTCAAGCCACCCGTGGATCTTCCTTCTCCATCTCTGTCCTTTTTTCCGTCTGATGGGCCCCGTGTGTTGCGAGTAGACTCTGCACCGTCTCTGGCCTCTGCACTTGCGAACCGATCGCTCCCGGCGTGAAACCATTGGCCTACGACGACCTCCCCTCCCGCCTTCCTGACCTTCCTCGTTCCTCGACGGAGGTGTGGAAAGCGGGAGGGGCTGAGGCCCCGCTCTTCTCTCTCTCTCTCTCTTTCTCTTTTTTTGGTTCTCTCTCTCTCTCTGTTCGACGGCCCAGGGGTTTTTCCAGGGCCCCAGAATGGTTCAAGCAACTTGCGATCGCCGTTTTCGCCTCTGCAGGAACGCTTCGCGAGTCTAGGCCTCCTGGATGGGTTTCCGAGTAGATGGGGTCGGAGGATCGCGCCGCATCGCCGATGCATCGACGATGCGGCTCGATGTGGAGCCCGATGTTTCCCACGCCGACGTCGCGGATGCGTCGCCGACGTCGCCGATGCATCGCCGACGCATCGCCGATACATCGGCGATGCATTGATGATGCGGCGCGATCCTTCGACCCCATCTGTTCGGACCCCATCCAGAAGGCCTCGAGCGAGGCCTGCGCCGCAAGGCGAGCACGCCCATGGAATTCTGTAGCGCGTCAGGGGAGGTTGCACTTGAAAACAGTTTCTTCACCATCCACTGGGTGGGAGCAGGTTCGTTGGAGTCGCATTTTCTTCCTTGACTCCTGCTTTTATCAGCTCCGGTAAGTTGAGCTTGACACTCGTGTTTTTCTTTCCCTTGCCCGAGGTGGTTGCGCTTGAGACGCGTTTTGCTCCCACCTTCAGTGCTTTGCAGTCGTGAGCGCCGAGGCGCTCGTTCCTGCGCTTTGGGCTAGCGCCCGTTTTCTGGGCGCCGCCTCCTTGCCGCTGCCACCTTGCAACTCCCTTTGCGTGCTGCTTGGCCCACTAACCTTTGTTGAGGGGCTGGCACCACTATCCGTCCTTCGGCCGTCTTCCATCCAGCCATGAGCCATCGAGCTCGCACTGCTCCTCTGCTGGCCCGCTCGCCCGCTCCCCCTTGCTGCTTTCTCTGTTTCTTCTTACTCCTCCGTCCTCTGTCCCCTTCCCCGTTCCCCTCCTCGCTCTTCCCCCCCCTCTGCCTCCCGCTCCCGCAGTCGTGCGATTCTTTCAGCCCTGAAGAGGGCCGAGAGGGTGGCCGCTCTCCAGCCGAGTCCCGCGCATGCAACTTTGCGTGTGGCACCCTGCGGACAGCGTAGGGTCATCCGCTCTGTTCGGTGCTGTCCGCTCTCCGCGGCCGCCTCCTTGCCCTCATCGGACAGGCCCGGGAGCGGGACAAGCATCGCCCCAGGGCGTTCCGACACGCTCTGAGAGCGTTCCGCGACGCTCTTGCACGGCAGCGGCACTCGAGTCATCCTCGGATCTCAGACATCGCCGATCTATCCCGACCCGGTTTTGTCACGATCTTGCCTCGGTTGTACCTCTCCCGAATAACATGTTTTCGGCTTTCGCTTTAGTTTCCAAGCCACACCACGTCATACCAGCGACAAAGCTTCCTTCATGCCAGGCATCTGGCGGCCAGTTTGGTACGTGTTGGCAGCGGGTGTGCCGCAAAGGGGAAGTAGTTGTTGCAATATGATGTTCGTCTTTCCCTCTCTTTCTTTCTCGTTCTCTCTCTCTCTCTCTCTTTCTCCCCTAATCGCGTGCCTTCGTACCACTGTCCTTTCCTCCCCCTTGATGTGCCCCCCGTCACTCGTTCGTCTCCCGTTGTTCCTACCCCTCTGTCGTGCCACGAGCATCGCTGAAGCAGCCTTCCCTGTGCTTTTTGTGAGGATCACAGAGACGCTGCCCTCAAGAAGGAGGGCGAGGTGCAGGACTCCCGGCCCTCGCCCGATGGCAGGGCAGCTCGGCAAGGCCGACACGGTGGCGGTGAGCCTGACGCAGCAATTCTGTGATGTGCTGCCGATGATGATGATGATGATGATGATGATGATGATGATGATGATGATGATGATGATGATGATGATGATGATGATGATGATGATGATGATGATGATGATGATGCTGATGATGATGATGATGGTGATGATGACGATGATGACGATGATGATGATGGTGATGATAATGATGATGATGATGCTGATGATGATGCTGCTGATGATGATGCTGATGATGACGATGATGACGATGATGATGATGATTATGATGATGATGATGATGATGATGATGATGATGATGATGATGATGATGATGGTGGTGGTGATGATGATGATGATGATGCTGATGATGATGATGATGATGGTGGTGGTGGTGGTGATGATGCTGCTGCTGCTGCTGCTGATGATGATGATGATGATGATGATGATGATGATGATGATGATGACGATCTTTCTACCGAGAGTCACAAGATTCACCGTGTACGCTGACGCGTTGACTTCTGACGGCCAGCTCCCCCCCTGTTCCCCTGGCTCCAGTGCCCCGAGGCTGGCCCAGGCAGGTGCCGCAGTTGAATAGAGGTGATCGCGGAAAGTGGGGGCTCGTGCGAGCGAGAATGACAGAGGGAGAGCTGTGCCTGTAGGAAGACGCCGTGCCAGCAGGCGCAGGCGCACGGCACGCAGGGAGCACATTCTTTTCTGTTCCGCTCTGGCCTTGTGGTGATTGGTCGGTTCCTTACCGTGCTGTTTCTGATTTGTGCGCCTACGCTGTTATGCTTCTTTTTTCAAACCTCTTGTGTTTAATCCTCGTTTTGAGTAGCGCATTGCTCGCGCGTCTCCCTCCCCATTCCCTCCTCCGCCTACCTCTCGCTGAACCTTGCATTGCGCCTGCTGGGGATTCCCGCGACATCCTCCTGAAGACGTGAAGACGTGACGTCGCGAATGCGTTGTCGTTGTGCGGTTTGGGGCCAACGGGGTGGGGCGAAGACACGAGGACATGAAGACGTGAAGACGACCAGATCGGGGCTGACGACCTGAAGACAGGAACACATGAAGATATGGGCGTATGGTCGAGGACGTGAAGACGTGAAGACATTCAGCTCCCTCGGGGCTGCGAACTGCGCAATCGTCGCCACTTTCGTGGGCTCCTTGGAGGCACGGCGGATTGCAGGGCAGCGCAGATCGTATAGTATCTCTCAGTGTGTTCGTCCGTGTGGAGCGTTCATACAAATATTCGCCTCGCCTGAACAGTTGCCTCCCGTTCTGGCATGCTGTTGTTCAAACGCCCTGCGCATTCCGCTGGCCCATCTTGTACCGTCCCTGCAAATTGCCTGCATGCTCGTGGGCTCTGGGACGTTGTTGGTTGGTGATAGTTTCCTCAAACTGTCGTGCGAAGCTCACGTGGGAGAGCAGCAGTCGGTTAGTAATTGTTCAGTGCGACACTCAACGGAACACGCCCACCCAAGTCTGGCCATGGATTGTCGGAGCATCGTGGGGAAGTTTGGGAGGCTTCTGGAGGCCTCTTGGGGGCCTGCGAGGGGGGCTTCCTGGGGCCTCTTGAGGCCGCCTTGAATCATTTCGGGCTACCTCGGGGCCATCTTGGGGCCTCATGGGACTGGCTCCGGGGTTGTACTTGGGCTATTCTGGGGCCTGCATCCCATCGGTACACTCTCTTGGGCCGCTCTTGCGCCCTCCTGGAGCCTTCTGGAGCCCTCTCGCGCCTCTATCGGGTCGCTTTGAGGCCGTCCTGGAGCCTTCTTGGGGCCCCCTGGAGGGTTGTTCGGGCCCTCTTAGGCCACTCTGGGACTCTGTCGGAGCCCTCTTGGGGCCCTCTTGTGGAGTCTCGGGGCCCTCAGAGGGCTCTCCTGGGACCCTCTTGATGATGTGCTGGTGATGGCGAAGGTGCTTGTGGTGGTCATGGTGATGATGCCGATGGTGATGGCGATGAAGACGGTGATGATGGTGATGATAACGACCACGAGGAGAGGGAGGAGCCCATCTGGAGGAGGAGGAGGAGGAGGAGGAGGAGGCGCATTCGTGACCGCAGACCGCTCATCTTCGCCAGGAGGCAGCCGGGGCGAACATGCACGCGAACCTAGGCGGCAAGAAGGAAGCCTCTTCCGCGCCATGCCCGCGCCCCTGTGACATCCAGGCATCGTGCCGCAGAAGCTCCAGGCCGCCCGAATGGCGTTGGCACCTCTCGGCCTCTGGGGCCGTGAACGGGCCCAGTGACCGCCCAAAAACGACTCAGGCAGGATAGCTGGTCCCAGGGAATCGCTGCCCACCAAACCACCCCGACCCAATCCACACCTTCGGGGGTGCGCGTTGTGACAGAGGTCACCACGTGTCGGAGATCTGGGTCTGGCCTTCGAGGGGGGCCGCGCTAGATGGAGTCGGAGGGTCGCGACTTGCTCTGCTCGACGTCCACGGTGCACCGCCGACGCATCGCCGATGCGGTGCGATCCTCCGTCTCCATCTGCTCCGACCCCAAACAACAGCTTCTAAGAGCACGTCGGGCGCTTCTGCCCAGCCCCGGCCGGACATCCTTCTGGTCCCCAGGGCCCTCACTTCGGGGGCGGCCAAGAGGGGGGTGATGACTAGGGGGTGGTGGTGCAAATCATGGTTGAGACCATGATATCTCCCCAGCTTTCATGGCCCTCTTCTTACTTCAGTGCGGTCTTGGGCCGCTCTTGGGCCGCACACTTGCCTCGGGCCATGATTTGCGAACTCCGCTCCTTGACGCCCCCGATCGCGGACCGATCTGGAGTCAGAGAAGTCCTTTGCCGATGCGTGGCGGGAGATCCAGTCGGTCGCCTGCTCACGGCGCCGTGCGTTGTCTGGTCTGCGACGCCTGATGTCGGGGGCGTGCCGTGTGCCCCTGGGCCTCCGGGATGGGGTCCGAGTCGTTTGTTTCGAAGGATCACGCGGCATCGCCGATGCATCGCCGATGCATCGCGGAAGCATCGTCGATGCATAGGCGACACTTGCGATGAATCGGCGACGTCGGCGCGGAACATGATCGACCCACGAACCCGGAAAGGAATATGGAAATGTAAAGACATGGCAACGTTTCAAAGACACCTGATTGGGCGACGGGCAAATGCAATGCTGAGTGTATCGATTTTGATGTACCGTGCCGAGGGCTGTGCTGTGCTGCGCCGTGCTGAACTGCGATGTGCCATGCCGCGATGTGCCCTATAGCGTTGTGGATCGAGTCCTCCTTAGCATCCGAGTCCTGACCGAACTGTTCTGGATTGTAAGCTCGAGCTGCTGCCTGAGCACAAAGTAGCTGCCCCAGAGCTAATTCACAGGGGGGTATACTGGGAAGACGCGCTGCGGAAAGTTCCACGGGACGCGCCAGGCGACGTGCCAGGCTACGTGCCATGGGGACGCACCGCGGGACGTGCCAAGAGGACGCGCTACTGAACGTGCGAATGGACGTGCCACGGGACGTGCCAGGGGACGCGCCGCGCGACGCGCCAGGGGGACTCGCCACAGGACGCCCCACGGAACGTGCCAACGAACGTGCCAGGTTGCAATGCTGAGTGAGTGTATCGATCTTGATGTACCGTGCCGAGGGCTGTGCTGTGCTGCGCCGTGCTGAACTGCGATGTGCCATGCCGCGATTGTGCCCTATAGTGTTGTGGATCGAGTCCTCCGTTGCATACGAGTCCTGACCGAACTGTTCTGGATCGTAAGCTCGAACTGCCTGATCACATTGTCCACATAGTAGCTGCCCCAGAGCTAACTGACAGGGGAACATGCCAGGAAGACGCGCCGCGGAACGTTCCACGGGACGCGCCAGACGACGTGCCAGGGGACGTGCCACGGGGACGCACCGCGGGACGTGCCAAGGGGACGCGCTACAGAACGTGCTGGGGACAAGCGTCGTGCTGGTGGCCTGGACACGTGAAGACACGTGGTGCCAGCTCGGGACAACCATGTTAGATACACCTCTGGGTGGTCTGGACACGTGAGAACACGTGATTCCAGCTCAGAACAATCATGTTAGAGATCTCCGTGGGTGGCCTGAGCATGAACAAGCACGTGGTTCTAGCTCGGGGCAGCCATGTTAGATACCCCTCCGCGTGACCTGGATACGCTGAATTCGCGCTCCCGCTCGAGACATACTCGCAGCGTCTTCCCTGGAGAGGCCACCCAAGCGCAACCCCCTGTTCAGAGCAACACAACATCACTTTTCTGTATTGCGACATGTGTTCGGGTAGCGCTTTTCGGCCCCCCAGGCGTTTCCCCATAATTCGGCGTTGGCCCTGACGCCATGTTGGATATCCTCCCTGGGCGTCCTGGACACGTAAAAACACATGGTTCCAGATCGGGACAAGCATGTTAGATACCTCCGTGGGTGGCCTGGAGACAGGACCCCTATGTTAGATACCCCCCTGGGTGGCCTGGACACTTGAAAACACACGGTTCCAGCGCAAAACCACCATGTTAGATACCCCTCTGGCCTGAACATGTAAAAACACGTGGTTCCAGCTCGGGACCACCATGTTATATACACCCCTGGGTGGGCTGGACACGCGAAACACGTGATTCCAGCTCGGGACCACCATGTTAGGTACCCTCCTGATGGCCTGCACCCGTGAAAATTACGGTTCCAGCCCACAGGGGGGATATCCAACATGCGGTCGTTTGAGGCGCCAGCGACGGACTACCATGTTGGATACCCCCCTGGCCGACCTGGGCACGTGAAAACAAGCATTTCGCTTGAGACATCCTTTGAATTCTGGCCCCCCACGAGGCCCCCCTTCTGGTCATCCCCCAACTCTGCAAAACCAGCGTTTCGCTCGAGACATCCTCAACAAATTCTGAAACACAAGCGTTTCGCTCGAGACATCCTCAAATTTTCATCCGCTGGCCCACCTCGACCTTGATAATTATCAGGCAAAGAATCCGCCAGCCCACCTCAGTCATGGCACGGGGGACAGTCTACAAAGCTAAAAGAGAACCCGGGGCCCGCACCCTTTCCAGGAAAAAAAAGCCGTGCCGCACATCGAGCTGCACCGCCGATGCATCGGCGGTGCGGCGCGATCCTCCGACTCCATCTGCTTGGGCTCCACCCGGGAGGCCTCTCTACACTCTTTGCGCGCCCCCCCCCCCCGCGAGCGCCTGCCCCCATGCACTTCCGCGCCCGTCCCTCTCTCTCGCCGCCGCCCGCTGCCGCCGCCGCCGCCCTCGCCGCAGCCGCCCGCCCGCCGCCGCCGCCCGCCGCCGACAATACCCCCCCCCTCCGCTGCAGAGGGCCCGGCGCCGCTCCTCGCGGGGCCGGGCGCGCGCCCGGTGCGCGAGGAGGAGGAGGAGGAGGAGGAGGAGGAGGAGACTGACTGACTGACTCATCTGCATCGATATCCAATCACTCCTCAAGAGAGCTACTCTAAGGGTACCGCAGAGCCTGGGATTTACACTCCAGGGGGCCTTATATTATGTGGGAGCGCAAGGCCAGACACCGCTGCCATTGCGCGCACAGCGCTAGCAGTGGCGTCTTGGCGCGGGGGCGCTTACTAAACTTGGGTGCGAGAGTTTTCTCTTCGCTGGATTCGCAATCGGAGCTCCTCCAATCTATCCTCCCAGGGTCGACGACTGAGCGAGCGAAGGTGGGCGAGGGAGGGAGGCTCCGAACCCGACCGAGGAGGAGGAGTTGATCCCTGGAGGCTGTTGGGGGGCCGCTGCCTCGGCTCAAGGCCGCTATCCAAAAAAAATTGTGAAAAGGACTCCTGACCTGCTCTGCTGCTACTTCCTACTCCTCCTGGTACATGTTCTGCTCTGCTCTGGCTCACTGCTTTCCTCGAATTCCGTAGGCGAGCCCCCCGATCGGTGCCTTCACTGGCATCTTCTGGAGCCCGCTCGCGCGAAGGCACAGGCAGATCAGACGGTTCACGCTGACGAGTGTGAAATTGCCCGCTGTGTCGAGCTCCTGTGGATGATGCTTGCCCTTCTGCGCCACGATCTGCTGTTCCTCTGCAAGATTCTTGGCCACGGGCCAGTGGCCCTCGAAGTTGAATGAAAGACGAGATGTGGGTTGAACTCCTTGTTTGCTTTGGAGCTCGCTTGACCTGCATGTGACGCACCAGTCTTCGAAGTCTGATGGGCTGCCCGCCTCCCTGAATTCGTCGAGCCGTTTGACTGCTGCGAAGATGCACTGGATTTCCTCGTTTTTGCCCTCGGCGGACGTGCTGGCGACGGTGGCGATCATCGCTCCTGCTGCATGTAGGTGAGGTGACCCGAACTCGTGTCCTGCGCCCGCTTCCTTGACGAGCTTCTCGTACTTGGTGGTAGCTTCCTTGATGGCCAAAAAGACAGGGTGGCCCGTCGGGCCTTTGAAGTGGACGTCTGACGCTTCTCTCTCTCTCTCTCTCATGCGAGCTTCCAGCTGCAGTAGTAGCTTGGTGTCCTGCGCTCCTCCGTTCCTGCCGCCGCCCTTGGCCTTTCTTGGTCAACTGTTCCTCTGGCTTGACAATCTTCTCTACCGCCTCGACCGCCGACACCCACCGCGACATCAATAGAGATCGAGAAGTTCTCAATAGAAGGCAAAACGTGATTGTTCACTAGATGCTGATCTAACAGGTCAGGAGTCTGAGCAACAAAAAGGCACAACGGGCATTGCGTGACGGTGTGGGCTTTCCTCTGCGGAGCTCGCACCGAAAAATCTGTAACACATCTCTGATGCTTCACTGATGCTGCAAGGTGCCACTGAGCGGTGGCACGATCCGAGAAGTTACTTTGGCAGAGAATGCAATAGTTCGACAACGTGGCGATGTGAGGAATCCTGTCCGTGGCACATATCTGCCTCAGGATCTTTTCTGTGTCCTCTCGCCCTCTCGCACAAATTCTCACGCAATGAGTGACCATGCTCTTCTGATCAGGAAACACTTCCTCGCAAACTGGGCACATTGAGGTGTATCGCCTTGCTCTTCCTGAAGAGGGGGGGATCGCAGTGCCCCCGATCCCGCCCAGACACACCGGTGGGGGAACCGACCTCGCAAGTTCGATAGACCTCAATTCAGCTACATCTATCGCTCTGAAAATTTCTCTTCCTTCTCCGAAGAACAAACCTAAAAAATTCCCTTCTAGCTCCTCTAGAAGCTCTGGGCC